GTTCAATACTTTTTCCCTGTGTCATTCCACATTATTATGGTTTGATTTCTTTGTACTGTATGTATCACTTGGGTTGTTACCGACATCTGGTGAAAATGTCATGTCATTAGCACCTCTAGTAATATATTTACTGAGAAAAATGGTGACGTGTTCAATACTTATTTTACCTGCTGTATATACTCAAGGACTAACAATGGACACCCCTGCTCTAGAGTACACTTCCAAGTCTTCTCTTTCTTGCCTAAAGTGTCTACCACTGTAGAAAGCTTTGTCGTATTAGCATATTTCAATGCTTCTTTGTTTTGTTTTTTCTTTTTATAAAAGTCTAATGAAGGACACATTCGTTTTTAATGAAGTTTTTGTCTTTAATAAAAGGTCTAAGAACTTTTTAAATTTGAAGCAGCAAAGTTCTCACGAGAATATGCCTCATCTGCTGCTGAACTCAGGGAAAGCGAAAAAATTAATGTGATAACAAAAGTATAACTTCTCTCCTCTCAGATCACACCTGAGAATCCATCTGAGAATATTAAATTAGATTTAGCTTTGCAAAAAATAAATTAAATGTATTTTAGAATCCTAAAGTAGAAGGAACTTTTGTGAGGTCAAGAAATAGGCAGTTGTAGGAAAGAGGGCAATGTTCATATAGCTACTCCCTTTTTTTAGTGAGAGAAATCTCATTTTAAACTCAACTTCATTCTGTTTTAATGGTTTAATTACTAATGACCCCTGCATGGTTTGATATTACTGTTCTACTTTTAATAAAAATCCACACACTGACCACAACTTTCTGAGACAAGTTATCAAGATCAAAACAAAAGAGAATGATCAGACAACTTTTTGTGATTAATCTATATCTGTTGGTGAAGTTCTACTTGCTATTCATCACCTTCAGCTGAATAAGTCTCCAAGTCTACAAAACATTTGTTGAGCATTTAGAATTGTTTCTTCTAAAGATGTAAGTTTTAGGAAGCCTACATAGTAAAACTTGTCTGGCCCAGTCAGTCCTGACCCACACAATACACTCAATAACACAACTCTTGGTTCAGATACAGCAAAGAATGACAGCCGTCCATGCCAAGATCAACCAAACCACAAGTGGACCAGTTTTGGCATGCCATCTTAAAACCAGTGCCACCATTGCCTAACCTTGCCCACAACTGCTTGAGAAACTGTTTGGCACGCCAGCAGTCAGCCAGCGGGGCCAGCATGGCACCAGATCTGGCCCACACCTGTTTGCTGTGTGGGATATGACTCTTCTTTTCAGCTATCTCAGGTTTTGTTTTTCTTTTTTTTACTTGTTTAAAATGGGCCTCTGGTTAATGACAGGAGGCCAGTATGCCTCAGAAATAGCAGATTTTTCTTTTGTCAGAAGTTTTAAAGCTGCTTTTAATATGATTATTGATGAAACTCAGACAGGTTTTGTTGACTAACAGGCTCATATGGCCTGCAGTACCATCAGGGGCCACTCGTACCCCAGCCAGCACCTCTTTAAACTGTTACCATCAGGGAGGCGTTTCAGGGCAATAAAGGGAAGACTAAAACTGACTAAAAAGACTAAAAACAGTTTCTGCACACGAGCTGTTGTTGCCATGAACACCATCAACACTGCAAACTCATCCAAACCATGATCACCTAGCAATTTTTCTGTTTAATTTCTGTTTGGTGCAATATAAATACATATCAAGTGCATTTTTTCTAATATCTTGAACATATCAACACCATTGCAATTTATTTTTTTTACATTTCTTATTACATTGTGTATAATTATTACTTATATAATAATTAGATTTTTTATTATTTCTTGGCCCTGTGATGGACTTGCGACCTGTCCAGGGTGTACCCCGCCCCTCACTCTGTGACTGCTGGATATGGGCACCAGTGACCCACGCGACCCTGAAAGGAAGAAGCGTGTACAGAAAATGGATGGATGGATGGATGGATGGATGGATGGATGGATGGATGGATGGATGGATGGATGGATGGATAATTATTATTTGAGGTCACTTAATTCTTTTGTTTTTGCACCGTCTTCGAGAGCTGCTCGTCTGTAAATTTTGTTGTGGTTCTTGTACAATGACAATAAAGGAATTCTAAGTCTAATATTCAACTTTGTGTTTGATCTTATTGACCATGTAATGGTGCTGTTAAAATTTTATGTTTTTTTAAACAAAATATAAAAAAATGTATATTTTTTATGTTTCAAGCTTTAGCTAAAGTTGGCTTTGGATCTTTTTTTCAGAATGCAGTTAATATAATGTACAAAAAAACAAAGAAAAGAAAAAAACAATAAATGCAACAGCTCAATTAAACATGCACGGTTTTACTTGAACTGACATGGCACGCATATATGCCACATTTCTACCTGTTCTGCATCTGTGCACATCTTCTACCTGATTGTGTAAAATCAGTCCCCTAAATGATATAACAATTGCAGACAAATATTTTTTATTAGCTCGTTTGCAGATGATGACATTGCTCTGTTCAAAAATGCTTTACAGGCTCATATTAACATGATGAAAACATTTTGATGCAGCATCAGGGTTACGCAGATCTGTTTGCCCTAAGAAATTGTAACAGCGTCTTTATTGCAGACATTCCAGAAAAAGAGACTATCCCATACTTTGGTTGTATTATTAATAATAACTTTTAAAAAATGAAGCCACTGGATGCTCCATAAATTTTGAATCTATTTTAACAGAAAACACGAACACACAAATAATACCTCTTGGCTCCAAAGGAATTTTACAGAGCTTGCCCGGTGACATGGTCGACAAAAAGAAATTAACACGTGGCCACAAGATAATAACTCATGGCTACAAAGTAGTTAATGTGTGGCCACAAAGTAATTACAGCAGTCATATCCATGCAGAAACTGTTGATTGTTTGCATGGACAAGTTTGCATTATTTGCAGTTTTATTTTAATGAGTTATCTCGTGGCCACACAATAACACACTTATGGCCACACATTAACTATCCTGTGGCCACACATTATTTTGTTTCCTCCAATGTCACTGGATGGGCTCCATACCCTAAAAGAGGGACTTTTTCTTGCCAAATACTTCCATCTCAACAGAGGTACTGTATGGAGCTTTGTGTGTAGACCTGAAAATAGTTTTTTTTAACATACCTGGCAACTACAAGGCAAACAATTATTAGAAATTAAATTTACCACCTATATAGGCCAAAACTCATACTCACAAATATTTTTTTCAATTCTGAACTCTCTTTTCAGTGTTTTATTAAGGAAGCCAAAATATGTTTTAAAAAACATCCAGTACTAGAACAAAAAGTAGGTAACTGCCCTTTAAAATTGTATAATCCTATGATATTTGGCAGTTTGTTCATAGTATATTAGTAAGATTAATTATAAAAAAGAAAAACGACATTCTTAAATGCCTGACAAACAAGAAGTTATAACTTCTGATGTCTGTGAGAGCTTTGGCTGTCTAAGTGAAAAGATCATGAATTTTAGTAGCTACTAATGTGTAAATGATTAAAAGTTATAATCCTGATTATGTAAACAACCTGTGTTTTAGGCTATGTGGCAACAAAATAAAGGTTTTTATTTATTATATACTGTATTAAGTTTTACAAAATTGTTTAATTCTGCAGTAATGTGGGGTGTTCTGCTAACTGGGAGTGCGACTGTGATAGTTGTCAAGTGTTTGGGGAGAAAGAGAGGTTGGGTTCTCGAAGCTGCACCTAAGCGACCGTATGACAGGAATTTTCCGACAGTACCTGAATGTAACAGGGTTGTGTTGTGCGCATCGTGATTTGAACGAACGAACCAATCAGCGGCCTCAAAAGGCGGAAGTGGCAGGCATTCCGTCACTCTTAGCCAATCACAGCGCAGTTCTGTTGTTTGCCTTGCTTTTTGAATTGAGCTCCAACAACAGGCAGACAGACAAACCTCTTTGCAAACTCAGAAGTCGTCTTTTGTCAACAATTAAAAGCTTGCTAGGTTTGTTCTTATACAGAAAGAGCATCGCGAAATGATGCAATAATTGACTTTTATTGAACGAGTGTCGCGGACTTTTTAAAAATGTGCGCTAAAGAGGTATTGTCCGGAGTTCATAATTAGGTCGCTCGGTTCTTCAGCTAGCTAATAATAGTAGTTAGCTAGTGAGCTTATCGAAGTTAACTGGCTCAGTGGTTAGTTGACCACCGCTAACTGTTTTTTATTTTTTGTGCTACTTCACCTAGGATACCTAAACTGAGACCGACGGTAAGTTTAATGCGTTATAGAACTACAGTAAGCATTACAGCCTGTATGTATAAATAACTTGCAGCTAATGGGTAACGTTATGTGCTACTGTTGTCGACTGACGTTTTTTTAATTGTAAATTCTCAGTTGTCTTCTACTTTGTATGACACTTCCACCTGCGGCCAAAGACGATTATGTTGTTGCTCGTGTGTGTGTTAGCATAACATAAATACTGATCGGGTTTTATATATCATTGATGAACAGCTGCAACTGATTAACAGTCAGAGTCAACCCGATTCCAAACAGGTACCACAAACAGGTGACCTTAGGAAACACGTAAATGACTAAAGTTCAGCCATTTTTACAGATGATGAGCTTGCTGTGGTAGCAGCTTAGCCTTTAATACATGCTCTGAGTGCTAACTGATTGGAGACCAGTGTCTAAAACCTTGCATTTGCTTTTTGGAGACTGTCAGACTGCTAGCAAAATAACCCATGAACCACTTAGATGTAAACGAAGATGGCTCCCAAAACCAATTTTTCCATAACGCAAATGAATGTTATTCAACCAATTTTTACAAATATTGTGATGCAATTTTGTGTGGTAGGCTAATAGCTAAGGGTCATCAGTGCTACGCATTATGCAGCATTTTGGCATTAACCCTGAACAAAAACATTGTGTTAGCAAAACATCTCACGAACAACTGAACTGATTTTTATAACTCTAAAAGTAATCGTTAAACTTGTTAACATTTGTAGTCAACCTGGTTTAGGATGACTGCCACATCTCAATTTCATCAACACATAATAAATATTATATGTGACAATGAAGTCGATTCTATTCTGCTAAACTGAACATTTTCCAGATATTGAGTTAACGTTTGGTGTGGTGGTAGACAACAATCATCAACACATACTCTCAGCTCTATCCAACAGAATTCATTAGACCTCAGTTTCTCATGAGACTGAACATTATGTACAAGGTTTAACCAAAACAATTATAGCTACCTTCTTGGTGTACTTTGATTTTAGGTTAAAACGGACTTGAAAGGCTAATGAGTGGTTGATGTAAACAGGTGTTTTTCACAGCTTATGCTGCGTTCACACCGAACGCGATTTCAGCTTCAAAATCGCAGCCAATGCTGAAGTTTGAAGCTTGTGCACTTTGAGGTCAGACGCAGGACAGCTGTTGAAGCGCTGCACGGCGACAGCCGCCCCGCCCCTCCCTCCTCTGTCGGGCTCTGTTTAATGTCGGACAAGGAAGTGGCTTTGCTTTATTTACAGAGAGCAAGAGCATGTCACGTTCATCAGATAATTAATTCATAATTAATTCACCAGATAATTCAGAGTAGAGGCTCACAGCTCGCTTTCAGGACTATTTTTCCAGTCTGATGAGCCGCTGCCACGCATTGGTGCAGATATCTCCTGTCAGGACACCGACTGCAGGCACTCGATTTCAGCTAAAGAGCTCCTCTCCGTCTGTTTCAGGTTAGTGGACATCATTCAGTAAACTGTCCCGTCGAGAAATATGTCGCTACGTCAGACAATGGAGTCTCTCTGATTGGTTGACGCGGCGCGTCGAGCTGCAAAAGTTCAGATTTTCTAACTTCAGCGATTTGAGCCTCAGTGCGTCGAACGCTCAGATCGTTCAAATCGTTCAAATCGCGCTGCTCTAATCGCGCTTGAGGCGCCGCAGCACTTCCCGACGTTGCTTGAAGCGCGTCCACCATAGACTTTGCATGTAAACCTGCTGCTCCTGACGCTGAAATCGCGTTTGGTGTGAACGCACCATTAGTCTTGGGAGTGTTGTTTCTTTCATATATTCCATTTCTCCCCTCTGTGCCTGAATGAATTAACTCTGTTGTCCAACTGTATCTTTTTAGAAAGTTTGGAGCATCCTGGCATTCCTGCCACATGATGGCCGACAGCAGCATAGTGACTTTGGGGACGGCTCGAAGTCTGCTCGTGGATTCTTCAGTCTATGATTCCAGGATTGTTGAAACCACAAGGGACCATGCTTTTCTGGGAATGACTTCTGATGATGGGGAAGGTATGCATGCATTTTCTTTTCTTTCCCTGCTTCCATTTTATACTTTTCCGTCTAGTTGTCAAATAACCTTTAAACAAGTTGTTATTGTGTGGAAATAAAAACGGCATTTTGTGTGGAACACTTGATGTGAAAAGGTCATTACTGTTTCAGTTCCTGAGGGCTATACTGCGAAGCGAGATTTTCTGCTTCACCAGCTATGTTGGGCTGAAAGTCAGAGATTTCAGTATCACAAAGGAGGATCTGTTTGAGTGTGACTAGATTACAATGATAACAGCTTAGCTCAAACTGCTCATGAGCAGGTTGCTAACAGTCAGTAAGAAGCAAACCCCTTTCACTTTCTCTGTTCTTAAAGCTGCAGTCTGTGACTTTTTAAAACATATATTTTGACATATTTGTTAAAACTGTCACTATGTCCTGACAGTTTGATATTAGACAGATAATCTCTGGGGGGAAAAAAGGGAAAAAAACAACTCCTGACACCTCCCGGTGGTCCTACTGCCCTCTGTTAAAATCTCTCCGACCCGGAGACAAACAGCCAATCAAAAGTGAGGTTTGTCTCATGCACCAGCTGTTCTTGCCCCCCCCCCCCCCACGCTGCACGCACGCTGCTCAGCCGGGCTAGCGCGCTCTCTTTCAAACAGTAAACTAGCTGATAGGGGTGTAAGAAAATATCGATACACTGAAATATCGCGATATTTCATTTCCCGATACTGTATCGATATTCTAAAGCCCTGTATTTTTTTTTTATTAAGGTTTAAAATGTCAACTTTCCTGCCAGCCGTTCATTTTTATGTTGTAGTTCAGCCTCTGACCACTAGTTGGCAGCAGTGAGCCAGCCATTTGGCTCCTCTACCTGTTGAGGTAGAGGCTATTGTTAAGTGTTGGGTGACCATATTGTAAATTAATATTAAAAACTAAAAGCTGCAAAAAATATATTTTCAAACTATTTATTACCAAATTTAGTCTAATAATTGAAAACATGGATGAAATAAAAAAAATATGAAACAAATACAATAAATTGTTAAATAACATGAAATTTATAATGTCGCTGTCATCTTCAGTCAGTTGGTTAGGGTTAGATTTTGCATAAATTAAACTGTGGCATTTTAATTGTCCGACTGAGTCATAAACCCCATTTATTCAGGGAATGTTTTCTCATTTAGACCCAGTTTACAGGTGAAGGATCTCCTGAGTAGATCCTGGTATAACTTTTTCAATGTTGATTGTAATATTGCACATTCACAGAGTAACTGTAATTGCAGTTGCTGTTTAGATGAGGCTTCCAAAGTTGGTGGACTTATTATAGCTTCAAAGCCAGGTAGTTGATGCTCTGATTTTCGTATGACGTCAGCAACACGTGCATCACCCTTCAGTCTCAAGCATAAGAACATTTATATCCAAAATGTTTACAAATATTTTTATAAACTGTGTAGGTTTACTGGATTACTGAGATGCATCAGGACATTTTTCAATTTGTGTTTATTGTAAAGTTGGTTTAAAATTTCATTTCAAGTGGCATTAAAGAGGTCTTACAAAGTCTTAAATTTAACTTGCGTTAGGTTTGGGGAACCTGATAAACACTGTTACCGGTCCTGTCTTGTTGCCTACACCCCACCCCCAAACCCTTAATTTTTACGTTGCACCTTTTTGTTTCTCAGATCAGCTACCCAAAGTGAAGACTCGTGTGGTTCTAGTGGGAGAAGCATGCAGAAATAAAGCACTGGTCAAAGCACTTCAGGTACATCATTCTGCTTTTAACCATGTGATCTGTTCTTTATACTCCAAGGAGCCCGAAATTTTTGTAATTTTTCAAAAGTTTTCTTAAGCTTTAATTCTCCAGACATACGAAGGTATTTCAAAGTTTCTATTTGGGCTAATTATTATTATTATTATTATTATTATTATTATTATTATTATTATTATTATTATTATTATTATTGTTATTGTTATTATTATTGTTATTGTTATTATTACTTGTATAAGGTTTAAAACAGACACTAAACTGGATTAATAAACTGGCTTTTTGTCAACGCATAACTTAGGCAGGAGACTGTTTTACGTAGTTTGTTTCTAGGTTTTTTTATTATCAGATGCCTGTTATAAAGGTGCAGTTAATTCACATGTGATCATCTGCATCAAGAAAAAATACAAAACTAAATAGTTTGACAGGCATGAAATTGTATTTCTCCTAAATACTAACTTATCTTTTTTAGATGAAAACTTGAAATGTTTATGCTTGACAGTGTTCTAGGATTAAAGTGAAAGATAGTCAGCAAATGAAAGTCATATTTTTAAGAAAGATGAAAAAAAATCTGATACAGGACCTGAATCAGCATTTTAAAAAAAACTTTTCAGGTTCATTCAGCACTCAGCAGCACAGGCCTCAGTCAGACCTTCGGCTGAACCAAAACAAACAGACAAGAGCTCTGCTCTGAGCAGACACTCTGCAAAACACTGACAACTTCTTTTGTACTATAATAATGAATAGAGCTTATAATGTATTTTTCTTCCTGGTTACACCCTTGGAGGTGTTACCTTTTACGTCAGATGTCAGAACATCACTCATTCTTGTTTAGGCTAAAAGACAGAACACATAACACACACCAACTCTGTCAGTTTCAACCTTACGGACTGAAATTATCAGAAAGCACAAAACTGAATCTAATATTCAATTAATCAGTTAGAATATTTCTTTACAATCTTGAAAAGAAAAAAACTTTCAGAAAGCCTGGAGAACTTTTGATTAAAACCACATTAAAAGATTATAAGGAAGTCTGGCTGCTTTGAAGGAAAATATAAAGAAAGAAAGCCTCGATTAAGAAATTTTCACAGTACTTCATGCTTTATACACCATTCCTCTTGTTTTATTTACTTAACTTGCAGTTAGTACAACATTAAACCAACTGGGCATCAATGAGAATGTTGGTTGATTGGTCCAATGATGGTCCAGTGTTTTAGCTGCTAAAAGAAAAATTTGGTAAATGATCCCAGCTTTTATCTTTGCAGCTTTTCTAGCTCTGTAAACTCAGTCTTACTATCTCGCTGGTCTGTGACTGCTGAAGACTAGTTGGTGACTTAATGGTGTGAGGATCCTGGTCTCACTGAATTCTGAAAGTCTAATGACCAGCAAGCAAGTGGTTTGAATGTGTTTCATCCAGCTGTCCTTCGATTCATCCTCAGAAAACCCAGACATCCCTCTCCCCAACAACAGATCTGTTAGGAGCACTTTGAGAGCTCCTAGGAGATCTCAGTGTTCCGTGTCCAGAGAGTATATAAAGTTGTAGACAAATTTGTCCTTTTTTGTTAAAGAAATAAAAAATGTAAAGATTACTGCGATAACTTGAAATTTACAAAAGAAACAAAAATATTTCTAAAATTGCTACAAATCAGTTAATAAAAATCGGTCATTGCTTTTGAATTTTCATTCATCAAAATAAAAATAAACCAGTAAAACCACTACTTCAGAATAGTTCAGCGTTATGTTTTTAGCCATTCTTTGGTGTTTTTAACTGTGTTTTGTGTCATTATCCGGTTGGAGAACCCATAATCTTTGACTGAAACCAAACTCTGTCTGGTCAGACAACTCTGTCCTTAGCTTTCTGTGGTCCATGTTCAGTGTGGTACACAGCCTGATACCAAACAGCACTGACTACTTCTCACCCTTTAAAAAGACAAACTGACTGATATCTAAGATTGAAAACACTTGTGATGCTAATTACAGGACAGACCTTAGTTTAACATGTCTGTATAGTCAAAATATTATGTTCTTGCAGTACCATCATTGATTTCAAGGACAATTACATCAAAAGCGATGACTGATTTCTTTTTTTTTTTTTTTTTTTTTTTTTGCTTTTGTCAGTTTCAAGTTAGTTGTGTGACTTTTGTTAGTCTCTGTATTGCTCCAGTGAGTTCTGGGTCTGCCCCAGGGTTTCCTCCGACTGGGATTTGTGCGGAAAACCTTCAGTGGGCGGCACCCTGGAGGAGGCATACTGATCAAATGCCCGAACAACCATAGCTGGCTTCTTTCAGTACAAAGGAGCAGTGACTCCCCTTTGATGATGGAGCTCCTCACCGTGTCTCAAAGACCAGCCCCCCCAAATTATTCAAGTCACAGGACATTTTGGAGACTTCCTCATGAATACCATTCTCTAAGTATTTACCATCAGTCACTGACCAGAGAGATACTGTAGTAAGTATGATAAAACTTGACCAGATTTCTGTTTTCAAGGGTGTTTTATTTCCCCACTAATGTTACATGATTAATTTATCAAGTTAATAGATTTAAGAAAAAAAAAATCTATATATGCATGCTCAAAAAGCCTAGAAATTTTTCATTTGAACTTTGTGCAAGTCATTTCTATGCATCTTGTTTTGCTTATACAATTGATTGCAGAACAAAGTAGTTCCAGGAAAAATTGAACATTTTCTTAAAAAATGAAAGGAAAGAAAAAAGACAGAAAGCCTTTTCATTCTGTTTGTCCTTTTTCTCCTCTCCTCCTCCTCCCTCCTGAGGGCTTTGAACCTCATATTAATTTTTAACAGGAAGTTCTACTTTTCTGCCTACCCCCTTAGGAGTGTGATATTTGTTTGAAGCTACTGTCTTTAACTGTTGCAAGGACACAGAACCTGCCCATCTTCTCCACACTGACGCTTTGCTGTTTTCCTAGACCCTGAAGTCTTCTCCATACGTGGCTGTAATTGTACACGTTTGTCCCTGGTTCTCCTTCATTTTTTTCTCCTTCTTTATACTTTCTATCTTTTCACCTTTTCTAATGATCTCTTTTCAAGTCACAGTTTTTGATGTCCAATTCTTACTGGTTGGTTTTTACAGGCCATCAGAGTAATGGAGGTACCTGTGGTAAAGATAAGAGAAGGCGAGGCGGGTGCTGAGGAGAAAACGATGATAAAATCTATAGTCAATATGGTACAGTACAGTGTCTGTCTGTGTGACTGTCTGACACTTGGTGGGAACTTGGATGTGTGCTGCATGAGCCTTAATTCAAACTGGGTTCTCATTTAATCACTCTGCATGTTTTACTTACTGATGCTGAACACATTTATGGGTGAATATTATAAAAGAATTTATGTAATCACTGGTGTCTGGTGTGTGGACTAAAACAGTTGTGCAGTCCGTCAAATCAAGTTTCCACACTTCAGGAAAAAGAGGTAAAGAAATCCTGACTTATATGGCTTACAGTTGTCTGACTAGGCTGCAGCTGTGTCACAAATTAATATTTGCATTTTATATTAACAGCCCGTCCGATTAGTCTTTGCACTAACTAACAAGACAGTCCTCTGGTCAAAGTTAATAGATAATAGTGAAGTAAAATGTTGACTCAGTATTCACATATTATGCGTTCTGTAACAAACAGCAGCGAACTTACTAACAATATATTAGAAATGCCACTGTAAATCTAATGCCACACAAGTCATATTAGTTACGGTTCTACTGAGAGAAAAAAAGTTTAACATTTGTGACTTTGACAATTCATACTGTATTTATCACGTTATTAGTGTAGATTTTTGAGTTATTAATGGGCCAATGATAATCCATTGAAATCTATAAAAAATTGGAATGGATTCATTTGCACTTTATTCTGAAACAATTTTACCCCGGAGACTTTGACTTTTGGTGTGATCTGGAAAATACTTTAAAATGTATTTATTTTTTATAAATACTGTATTATCTTTGGCTAAACATTCTGGCAGTGAAACGTATGTTTTGTGGTCACACCGTTTTTGAGATTCAAGAAAGCAAGATATTTTATCAAAACTTAATAAAAAAGCTTTTGTCACAAATTTAACTGGCCCAACTTCTGTCTGTTTTCTCATGAGTCAAAAGCAGAGGTGGGCAATCCTGGTCTGTGAGGGTCACGATCCTGCATGTTTTTCTTGCTCCTTTGCTCCAACACACCTGATTTGAATGAGAGAGTGATTACCACAGAGTTAAATATCACTAGTGAGCGCCGCCTGTCCCTTTCACTGTTAGCATCTGTGGCTGAGAATTCAGAATTCATGGTAATTACCAGTTGTCCGGTAGAACTTGAAAAGGTGATTCAATCAGTTAATCAGGTGTGTTTGGACTGGAACAAGGAAACAAGTGAAACTTACAGGATAATGCATTGCCCACCTCTGGTCAAGACTTTAGAGGGAAGTCAAACACATTTTCACAAGGGGCCAAAATTCAAAACCTGATCAAGGAACAACATTAAAAAAAGTACTTTAATTCATTTTAGATGTCTTTGTTTTTTAATCACTTCACTAGCTTCTATTGAAAAAAATTTACCACAGGCCTTGACAACTCAACAGAAAATCAGACAGATTCTCACCTTCAAATTACAAAAGAAAAATAATTTGGTGAACAAAAGTCAGGCAGACAATGTAGCTGTAAAAAAAAACAACCTAGATTTTAAAAGTCACTTGTGGAAACTTAGTGAAATACCTTTTGAATAAAAAAAAAACTATTTTCATTTAAGAAAAATGTTGCTCACATTGATGAAAAGAGATATTTAAACAGCTCGTGTAGAGAGTAGAGTTGGGGGGTCTCAGTAAATGGTAGATTTCTGTATCCCAAAATTTGGTTGAATTTTTCCCTCTCAACTTAGATGAAACACTCGCTCATTCTGTTGAATGACTGACTAGCAATGATATTGCAGTCAGGATTATGTTTGACAAAACACAGCTAAATACACATGAAGGGTTTTAATTAGCATGCATCATTTTCCCCTTAGTGATACATTTCTAGAATGTTCCTATACAGAAAACAATAACCGTTGTGAGTTTTGAGGTGATTTGGTTAATGTTTAGAAGGGGCACAGTGAGGTTATATTTCTCTGCAAAAATTGTTCCTTTCCTTTTCCTCATTGATGGTAGACTGGTGGCATACATGACCCTCAGATAAAATAAAGACGGTGTAGTCTGCCTTATAGTGTAAGCAACACTGGGCATGTAACATCTGTTTGTGTTTACATTCAGCAGTCTCTTAACAGCCCTATTCTTTGGTCTGCCTGCATGTTGGCACCATATGTGTGAAGCTGTTCTCTCTCAGGTGTGTATTGATTTAGGAATAGAAGTATCCAAATTGCTGGATGTACCACTTTTCACAAAAAACACAATAAAACCCTTTCACATCAAACCCTGGCAGGGTTGAATATTTTCCCAAAAACTTGCAGAACTTGGTACATGAGCTCAGAGCCAGTACCCTGGCAGAAATCAATAGTCTGCATGATGATGATTGTTGTGAGTTTAGAGAGTTGTGTGCTTTGTTCCTATAGTTGTTTTATGCCATCAAAATCTGTCTTTTTAAAGAACAGATAAACAATCTACTAATCTGAAAAGTTAGCTAATATTCGGTCAGGGCATCCATCTAAAAACAATATGAAGTGTTGCCACAAAATCACAACAACACTCAAAGCAAAGGTAAATGTATGTTTTTTTTTATACCATAAATAAACAACTACATTTTTTTCTTTCAATCCACATTAAAATCTGCTTTTTGAAAAGCTTGAGCTGTGGCGTGTTCTATTAGACTCATTCCCATACCTCAGGCTTTTATGCAAAGCTATATTATGAACATATTGTGTTTAAATTTATTTACCTTTTTGTGCAGAGTATAACAACAAAGTAGTGTGGGATTTTTCTTTAATATGGTTAGTCTTTTTACATATAAGTATTGAATGTGTCGTTAATTGTAATGTCATAACCGTGTGTGTCCAACTTTATTGCTGCTTGTTCTTTACCTCTGCTTTTGTCACTTTGGGTAACAGTTTGGTTTATTTAGTTTTCAACATTTTTTAACAGTAACAAACATATTTTTCTGTCTTTACACTACCGGGTGTGCTGAACCTTAACAAACAATTTAATGTTGATTCAAATAAATGCTGTAACTCAACATTCTCATCTACACTAGTGAGTTGAATGTTTTCAAGCATAATTCGACAGTACTCAATATGTACAGACACGGATACATTTCTTGGTCCACCTCCAACTTATTGAAACAATGCTTCATTTCTCATGAAAAGTGGTTCAGTAAAAAGTCCTTGTTTAATATATTTCATCATACCTTTAGTATGTTATGGAGTAAACAAAAAATTAGAAATACATATTTACACAAAGATAAGCTCAGAAAGAAGATGATAAATATCCATGCTAAAGGTAAAGGCTACAAAACCATCTCCAAACAGCTTTGTGTTTCTCTGACAACAGCTGAATTGAAAAAGTATAACGTTTATAAGATTGTAGCTAACCACTGTGTATGTGGATGCAAGAGGAAATGCAACCCCAGGTTAATCAGATACTACTGCAAATAGTAAAAGAAGAAACAAGAAACCATATAAAACTATTCAAACCAAAGTCTAAGGTCAGTGTATGATCAGCTGTTGACAGGAAAACACAAAAAAACAGACTGAAATTTACAAAATGCATATTGACAAGCCCCAAACCTTCTGGGAGTGATGAGACAAAACTGAAGCTTTTTGACCCATCACGTTTGATTTATTGCGGGAGAGAATCAAAATATTTGTCCGTGTCTGTATAATTAATAATGTGTACTTGAATGTATTCTGCATTTTTCTTAATGATTCAGAACTCTAACAAGGCCCACAAATCCGAATGACAGTGAGCCATCTCTTCTAAACGATTGTTTTTGTTGTGCAATAATCTATTTATGCATACAATTCTTTGTCTCCAGGACATCAACACTCCCTTCATAACAACAAACAATGTCCAGGAGTTTGGAGACGGCGACAACACTGAATTTGAGATGGTGTTTGTCCTCACAGACTTTAATTCTCCTGACTACAACTACCTCTACAAAAATGAAAACCGTATTGTTGGGCCTCCTGTTGTGATGCACTGTGCTGCAAAGGACGAGGTAAGGTTTTTATTACAGTGAAATTCAAAAAGCATAGCCCCTACCCTTGTTGTTCTCTGTTGCTTTTTAACTTGGATTTTAAATGGATTTAAAATTTGATCAAGTAATAAATCTACACAATATAATTTGGATTAATGGATTTAGACTGGGGCAAAAATATATAAGTTTAAATAAAACGTGATGTGTGCACATTTAGAGATCTTGTTGGGGTTAATAACCCTTTGCTTTGAAGCCCCAACCACTACCTTCAGAAGCCATATAATTAGATTGCCCACAGTTAGATGGATCTTTATTAATTGTCCAATAATACTTTATTTTTTTGTACACTGATTTATTTATTTATCTTTCGTTACAGCCACTACATTTCTCATGCCGTCCTCTTTACTGCACTACCATGTTGAACCTGTCTCTGTGCTTTACGGGTTTCAGAAACAAGGAGGAAATGGTGAGGTTCACTAAACAACATGCTCCTGTTTGCTCACGATTTGAAGTTTTGTGGAATGACGAGCCGTATCCCACGTCTCTATTGTTTGAATGTTATCTATGATCTGCGGTATTAATGTACAGTCTGCTGATGATATCAATCCAGATTTTTTTATTTATTTTTTGTTCTGTAGAAGAACTTGGTGAATTTGGTTCATCACATGGGTGGAATCATCCGGAAGGACTTCAGCACCAAAGTGACTCATCTCATCTCAAACTCTACTTATGGAGAGAAGTACAGGGTTAGTATAAACTTAGGTTTTTACCCAAATTCCAAATGATTTGTAAAGTTTGTAGCAATAATGTTATGTAAAAGATGTGGTCAGTGCTGGTAAAATATTCACCAGCTGGGGGTTGAGTGACTTTTCTTGATTTTTGTTGAAAAGTCAATTAAGACATTTAAAACAAGCAGAACAGAAATTAAAATCAGCAAAACAATAGCTGAAATTAGAAAAGCTACTACTAAAAGCTAAAAAATACACATATAAAAGCTAAACTTAGTTAAGCAGTAGCTAAAAGATGAAATTAGGAAAAGCATCAATACTTGTGTAGCAATGCTTAACACTCCCTTGTTTGTACAAATTATGTATCATGTTTTGTACAAATGGTTAACAATGCTGTGGTTTAATGACCCCTGAGACCTGCAGGGGTCATTTTGACCCAAGGACAGTAGGTGGAATAAAAAGTCTGTCACCCAGTAACAGAGGGTAAGTGTCATACCCATAGTGGAGAGTTTGCTGGTAAATATGGTAGGTACCACAGTATTAAAAGCTGAGTTGTATTCAATGACCAGCAGAAGAGAAAAAGTTGGATTTTCTAAAGTCCAAGTAATCCATCAAGATCACAGCAGCCCTGGCAACAAAACACCTGTATTGGGAATGAAAACGTAGATTAATGTGGGGAAAAAGTGAAGAAACAAACTCAAAAAACAGCAGAAATATAAAACATTACAAACTCAGGAGTGGCAGGAAACACTTGATCATTTTCTTGAAGGTGAAAAAGCAATCTCTGTGATTGTTTATTTTTTCCCCATCTAGTTTTTCATTTTATTGCTTTAAACAACACAATAAAAAATAATTGCCAGTTATACCATGTTCCTTTTTACCTGGAGACTCAGTTTCTGGGTGGGATATTGGAGTGTATTCATTTGTTTTTCAGTGGGATCCTTTTTTTTAACAAGCTCAAAAAGTTTGTAACGTTTTAGACGTCTTACATACAGATGGATGAGTGGGAGGATGAATAAATTGATAGTCAGAATATTGATGCTGTGCTCCTGTTAACCTTTCCTACAAATTGTTTTTCATTTTATTGCTTTTTACCCTTAACTACAGGCTCTTTAAGGATAGGTTTATGCTTTTTATTCTTTTTTTTCCACTAGAAACTTGTTTTCTTTGTGCTAAATAGTGGAAGTAGTTTTAAATTTAGGGATGAGATGCTAACTTTAAAAAGATGAAAATAAGGGGAAAGGAGGTGTTTCAGCCCTAAAAACATGCTTTGCACCTGAGGAGAAAATGTTTCTGGCTTTTATTATAAGTAATATAAGATAGTTTTAGGATGACATGTATGGCATTTATTTTTATTGCCCAAAGCCTAAAGGTGAAAGTGAACGTTTTCTTTTGTGTGTATCTTATTGTTAGCAATATATTTCATAAACTGCTTGACAATTTTTAATTATACTTGGAAAAAGTAATCGTTGGATGTATATCTGATTTAACTTTTGGAGTCCACCAATTTAAGATGGCTGCCACATCCAACTGACTTAAAAAAACATACAGAAATAACTATAACTGTATTTTATTGATATTGACCTTCAATTTGGTGTGGTAGCAGCTGAGAGCCATTCATTACAGTCCCAGCACTACTCAATGCATTACACCTTTGCTTAAAACTTTTGCAACAACTGTTTTTCTGTTAGCAAAATACTTTAACTCACAAACCTTTGGGCAGATTTATTAAAACTCCTGTATAAAAAATATTGGAAGCACAACTTTTAGACTCAGTCTAGTTCAAGATGTACACCATAGCTAATCGACATTGGCTAAAAATATGACTGACAAAAAAAAAGATCAACACATTCAGTTTTGCAGAAATCAAGCTACAGTTTGTTGTGATGGTGGAGGAGAGTCATTCACAAAATACATTCTGATATTTTTTATGTTTTCAAAGTTTGACTAAAATGGCTACAACTCTATTGTCTCTCAACTTTAGATTAATTTTATTTTAGGCATTATTTCATAAAAAGGTAGGCCTTCATTGTCCTTTGATATTTTCTCTTGGTAAGCATTTACTAAAATAATCTTTGTTCTTCTTTTGGTCATTTCTCAGCTGGCAGTGTGTATGGGGACTCCAATCCTCCAGTCTTCTTGGATCCAGAAGGCCTGGGAGAAAAGAGATCAGATGTAAGTTTGAATTATCTGCACAACACCTGTGAACTACAGAGGTGACTCTAAGTTAGTAGAATCTTTGTTTGATTTTCAGAACTCTTACACTTTATTCATACAGTCAGAAAAATAAATAAATACAATTTTGTTCGTCTTTACTCTTAATGACAACTACTCTAGAACATTAAGAAACCACAGCCAGATGGTATTTGCATGTTCCTGGTGAAGTTTGCTGGGTTAAAGAACACTTGGGGGCTCTTCCTTTTGTGTGAAATATGTCATGGAAAGTATTTACTGTGCACAAAACTTCCATCACAAGTTATGGTTGTCTGCTATTGTTGGGACTGCAGCAGGGTTCAAGATCATTTGTCCTTCTGATAAATCTTCAATTTATTTCAAATGTTGCAAAGTCTTGGATAATTTCCTGCACAAATTACATCTTTGTGACGAAAGTAGGCCTGGCTTCCAGGAAAAGTGTTTGTGATCCTGATGAGATGTCCTGATATGTCCTGGGATTCTGACCAATTGGAGCCAAACTTAACAAGAGGTTTTATATTTGCTAGTACCATTTGCTAGTTTCTAAGCCAGATACTAGCAAATAATTCAGTTGAACAAACTGATTACTTCTGCGGTTTCTTCTCCTACTTCTCTTCGACCCTGCTGCTGCACTCAGTTACGTGACGTGGAGCTGAAATGAGATGTAAATAACTAAAGGGCAAACCACACAGGTGGCGTATGACACATGTCAAAAATGACGCTTCCCTTGTTTTCAATTATGACCCCCCACACCGTCAGCAGCTGGCTGCTGAATGATGCTCTCTGCCACGGTGGCAAGTGATATTTCTTGACACAGCTCTAATTTTATGGTTTTTATGTGAACCTGCTCCCTGCCTGGACGTCTAGGTCATCGTAGCATCTTTTTTCATGCTCCTGTTGACAATTCCTTCTCTCTTGTTTAGTTGTAGTGCTGTTACATATCAACAGTTCTAAATGGATAAAAACATTTATCCATTTATTCATTTTATTTATTTGCAGCTGACGATGGCTCATTTGTTAGACCTGTTGCCTCTTAGTAAGAAGGTTGCTTGATCAAATCCCAGCCTGTGATCTGTCTGGGTGGAGTTTACCTGTTCTCTTCTTGCATGCGTGGGTTTTCTCCAGGTGCTATGGTTTTCTCCCACAGACCGAAAACATGACTGTTAAGTTTAACCTGCCACTTGCAACTGCTGGATATGAGCACTAGTGACCCTCAAAGGAAGAAACGGTAAAAAATAAAGGATGGATGAAAAATTTCCAGATCAATATATGACCCCAAATTTCTATGCATCCATTCGTTTTTTTTTAACCCACTTTTACAGTGCAGGGTTGTACTGGAGCTAATGTCCATCCTCAGCTTTCATCGTGTGAGACGTGGGGTACACCCTGGACAGGCTGCATGTCCATCATCAGGACACATAGAGACCAACATCCATTTACTCTCTCACTCGTACCTAGGGACAATTTAGAGTTACCATCTATCGTTGACGTTTTTTGTCTGTGGGAGGAAACTGGAGTACCTGGAGAAAATCCTAAACATAAAGATCATGCAAACTCGATGCAGAAAGGCACCAGGCTGGGATGTGATCCTTCAACCTTCTTGATGTGCGTCACCAGCTCCAAACACTGTTCCACTCACTCCAAATTTTGTTTTTATAAATATGACTAAAAAATATCATGACTTGCAATATATTACATAGGAAATTGTTTATTCTGGTAAAACAGAAAAAAAATGATGACAGCCACTTCAGCATGTCTTATATGTTTAAGAGGCATTAAACTAGTCAAGGCAGATGGCTTTCAGTCTCGAGTCTGGTTCTGCTGGAGGTTTCTTCCTGTTAATATGGAGTTTTTTCTTTCCACTGTTGCCATTGTGCGGCTCAGGAACAAAAGGACAGTGAAAGACCTGCTAAAAGTTTTTTTCTACCGTGCCCTGAGACGATGTTTGTTGTGACTTGGCACTAGATAAATAAACTGAGATGAATTGAAATAAATGATGTGCTGAGCCACGCTCGTTGTGTATTTATGCATTTTAAATTCTTACATGTCAAATGGTAATTATTTTTCTCTTTCTTTTTTTAAAAGAGGTTTTCATGCAAACGATGAGGAGTTTCGAACTTTGTTCAAAGTTCCTCCATTCCAGGACTGCATTCTTAGTTTTCTTGGGTTTTCAGAAGAAGAGAAGGCAAACATGGAGGAGAGGACTCAGAAACATGGTTTGTACCTCATGATTGATCATAATTGAATAATTACATGAAGTCTACAAAAAAACTGAATAAACACATCTAACATTACAAGCTCATGTTTAATATTTTAGTTTAAAAAAAGTACTTTAGGTGATAAACATTAAATTGAAAATGAAATTGGGTAAAAGTAGTTGTTTATTTTCTTATGATTGCAAAGCTAATAAAAATGTAGCATTTCATTAAGAAAGAAGTACTTGTGTACAGAAGGTTTACATGAGTGCACAGATAATAAATGACAGTAAATTTACAGTTATTTTAAATATCAAAAATGGTTACAAATTCATAAAGAAATGTCAGGAAAATACTGAATGGAAAAGTCTAAATGTTTTGAAACCCTGCAAACTAGGACTATATTTTTGGTTACTTGATTTAACACTTTTTATATATACATACAGTCTGACAAATCAACATTTAGTAGAAAAATGAAATCAATGAGATCTCGAGGCATGAGATCTTATATCTTATTAAACTGAAAACCCTGATTCTGACTGGTGAAATTATCACAGAATATTTCTCCATCACTTACAATTATTTGTCTGGCAGTAGTTTTAAAAATTACATCACACACCAGGACATTATAAAAGTACAAAAGACCCGCCTGCACAACCTCCCAACTTCTAACAGACTGTAACACTGCCAGTCAAAATAATGTCACACTTTATGCTTCAAATCAGAGATTCTTAACCTGTGGGCCGTGAGCGCCACCTTGAGGGCCTCAAAAGAACAACAATTTTTAGCTTTGGACTGCAGAGGGCCGCGGGACCGCATTGATTTTGAATAACGTGCAATACACTTTCTCACCACTAGTAGCAGTAGTGCGCCACTCACTTGTTTAACAACTTTTTTTAATATGTAGAAGAAGAACCTTAGAAACCTGCCAAGAATGGAAACTTATTTTAAATGAAAAGCAGAAGCAAAAATGAAGTTAACCCGTCAAAAAACACCAAAGTTTTTCACTAACATGAAGTGCAACTTGTTTTTTTACCATACAATATTTTAAAAGTTCAAAAGATTATCAAATACAGTTGCAGAACTACCTTTTAAATTAATTTTTGTAGTTTATTTTTAAACATTTTGAATGTTTTTAAAGAAATTTTAAACTTGTAAAAATGCTGTTGTTACTGTTATTGTTTTTCACTAATATGAAGAGCAGCTTCTGGTTCTACCAAAAGTTTAAAAAGGCTTTATTTTTATTTGTACTTTATCAAATTTATTTTTACAGTTTTTATAATTTGAAACATTTACATTAAGCATTTTTAGTTTATTTAGTTTATGCCCACAATTTATATTTTGAATTGTCTATTTTTGTTATTGTTCAGGTTAAAAAATATATATCTTTTTGTGTTGATAAGACTGAGTGGTCTGTTGACTGACCTTTGTATTTGTTCAGATAATTGTTACTGGCAGGTTACAATATAAAACTGTTTGTCATAATCATGTCTTGTGATTGTTTGACAGGAGTTTTACTTTTAAACTGTAAGTGTATTTAGTTATGTTAGTTATGATAGTTTAGTTATGATGTAAATACAATAAAAATTAAACCAAAATTTAGAATAATTATCATTTTGATTCATACACTGGTAATGTCTGACTGGGACTCGTGCCACTTTATGTTCAACATATTGGGCCCCGAGGTCAAAAAGGTTAAGAATCCCTGCTTTAAATAACTAATTGAAACTAAACATATCTGTTAAAATGCATATTTATACATACATCAGCCAGGTCAGAGCAATTTAAAACACAAAACAAAATTTGAACTGTATTTAAGGCAAATGTAAAATGTAAGACAATTGTTTTATTTATTTGCATGTATGTGTGGGACTCAAACATTGTACCTGAGTCATTCATGGTGTTTTCAACTTCCAGCTTTCAGTCCTCATGCTAGTTATAGTATATCTAAATTATTCCTTTTTTAATGTTTTACTACCTTTCAGGAGTTTAAGAGAATCTCAGGAATGTTTAGAGCTCCAGGAGGTGTTCACATTTTTGTGCATTTTGTTCATTTTTTTTTCCTGTGTGAAAGGTGGCCAGTACCTTGAGGTTGGAGATGAGAGATGCACACACATGGTGGTGGAAGAAAACTCAGTGAAAGACCTGCCAATTTCTCCCTCAAAGAAACTATTTGTAGTCAAACAGGAGGTAAATCTTTCATATCTTCGACACCAACATAGAGCGCAGTGAATTGGTTAAACTGTAAAAAGTATTGAATTAGAATAGAAAAACAGTTTCAATTTGTGTTCTGCAGAAAGGTTTAGACAGCTTATAAAAGTGAACATGTGAGACATCACTCATGAATAGTTTCTAATAATGCAACAAGTCTTTACTCTTATTTGATCTATTTTTAATCAATGTTATATAGGTACTGTATATTAGAGTTAGTAAAATGATTTGTCTCTTGTCGCAGTGGTTCTGGGGCAGCATTCAGATGGATGCTCGGGCTGGAGAGTCCATGTACCTCTATGAAAAGGTGAGTACATCAACAATAATTATTTATGTCTTTAATAAGCAGAATTACCTCACAAGAATTATTTATGTCAGAATAATTTGGAGTACATTCAGACTTGCTGTTAGCTCATCTAAAACAGCTATGAAATTAATTGTTTTACTTGTTTCCCTCCTTTCAGTTCTAGTAGAATTATACAAAAATAGACAAACAGTTTGAGCATAACTGTTATTCATAAGAAACATTTGTAACCTCCTGACTGACTTGCATTTAAAAAACTTAAATATTTTTAACCAAATAATTTCTAAATCATTGCATTTATCTGATTAGACTGCAAGGATTACTGTATTAAGCTAGTTATGTTTAATACACAACTGATTAAGCATAGCCATTATAAACAGATGGTGGTGAAAGGCATTAGGCTTAGCATAAAGGGTCCATTAAAATAAATTAAAATAATATTTAGGGCCTCCTACAACCAGTATGAGCTGTAATTGAATGATAACCTTAAGCAGAAAAATCATGATTTAATATAAAATGAACGATTAAAAACATTATTTGCTTTTAAAAAGGCAAAATCAAATATTATTACCATTGCCTCTTCAATAATCAAAATATTTTTATTAATGATTAGAAATTTCATCTATAAGTTGTTTAGTTATTTAGACAGAAAACACAAATGTTTTCATTCAACTTAATTTAAAATCAGTTTAACCTGAATTTGGAGCAGATTTCAAACCAATTTGTGTTCAGTCTTTTTTACATTTTTTCTAATGATATTTAAGATATGTCTAAATTTTAATTTGTTGGCAAATACAGGGACAAATTCAACGTGAGTAGCTTGCTAAATGACACCACTGTCATTACGTTTCATAAATATATGCAGTTCACATTTGGAGCTACAGTTTCCTCTTTAATAGACTTTTCCATGTTATGCCATTGACTGTTTTTTATCAGCACCAGATCAATTTACAATTCTAAAGTAATGGTGCAACTGGCCTTTTTTTTCTTTAATCTGCATTTCATGTTTTATTTTTTCCTTTTGTGCTTCAGAACGATAGTCCTGTCATGAAGAAAGCAGTGTCCCTCCTCTCCCTCACCACCCCCAACAGCAACCGTAAACGCCGGCGTCTGAAGGACACACTGGCTCAGCTCACTAAAGAGACTGAGATCTCCCCTTTCCCCCCACCACGCAAAAGGCCATCAGCAGAGCACTCCCTATCCATTGGTTCTCTGCTCGACATTTCTAACACCCCTGAAACATGCAACGCTTCAGCAGGTAAGACAAAAAAGAATAATTAAAAACAGATTCTGCTCCTCCCATTCAGAAGACTGAATGTCGCACAATTCTAGTGCTTATTAAGAAAACAAAAACAATGCCTCAAACACCTGTGTTCTAATGCTGTGACTGGTTACTTGTTCATCATAAGAGAACCGTACACACCCCTTTTTATTCCAGAAGACAGAGTAGGAGACAGTTCTGTGACCAGAAATAGGATGAGAAGAAGACAAAGCAGAGAAAGGAGATCTAGGACAGACAGGGAAGAAAGGAGGAAAAGATCTCACCAGAGTACAAAAACCTGTCAACGATCAACGCAAGAGCTGCAGCAAGAAACGTCAGCAGGTTAGGTTTTACCTAAAGGCTCCGCAGCTGTGATGGGAAAGATTTATACAAACATTTGCTACAGTGTCTATAAAAAGGATTCACCCCCTTGTATGTTTTATGCTTTGATAACTATCACAAATCAACCATGCCCAACTTAAATTGGCCTCCTTTACAAAAACATTGTCAAAAGTCCTCATTCAGTGTCAAAGTAAAATTTAATTTCTACAGAATAATAGCAAATAAATAACAGTAAAATAAATAATTGCATAAATATTAACCTTGAAAAATACAGCCCATTAAGATACTACCTGAAGCCTGCTATGGTTTTGTGAAAGAAGGATCTCTTCTTGTTGGGTTAGATTTTCATGATAACAGAGGGTTAACTCATCTTCAGAGCTGTAACAGGATTAATTACAGCATTAATACTGTATGTAGTCCTCTTTATATGACTGTAAATACATTTATACAGTAGTTGCTCTTTTTAAAGCATTTTCTAAATTTGTTTGGTCACAAAATGTAAGACAGCCTTTAGTTTCTAGATACAGTAAGTTGTTTTTAGGAGTATCTGGTGACTCCTATAATATGTAAATATACAAGTTTGAATTTCAAAGTTATGGTTAAAATGAATGGGATTTGATGAATGGTCTCTGTAACTGGAAAAGAAAGAGGGGAAATTTGAAGTATTACCAGATAAAAGAAAATGTCAAAGTTATTTTAATTCTAATCAATAAGTAAGTAAATACAGCATATACTTTTGGCAAATTCAGCAGTTTATCTCGTGATTTCTTGCCTTGGTTTATTACATTTTCAAAAGTATGTTTTAGATCTTGCAGTTTCCATCTCTTTTTCAGCGCTATGTTTAAAAAGTTTGTTTGACTGTAGAGAGTTCGAGGCCGTCCAAGAGTTCAACTACGGTTCTCTCCAAGCAGTCAGCCAGGTGGCAAGTCTCCAAGGAGCTCTACCAGACTGAAAGCAACTATGTGGGCATTCTGAACACTGTTCTTCAGGTAGGTGTGTGTCTGTGCTCACACAGCCTTTTCCTCACAGACTGACTAATGTGTTGCCCCAGACAACCGTTCAGACTCGAAAACAATCACTAAATGTGTGTGTGTATGTGTTTGCTTGAACTCATTTATCAGTCAGTTTCAGCAGGAAACCAGAGAGTAAATGAAGACTTCTCTGGTTTCTCCTCAAGAACATTTTCCTTTTTTGTCTTTAATTTTTATTTCTCTCATTTTATTTGAGAGGCCTTTACTACAGTGATGAAACATGGTTAAAATTATTGCATAATCCTGACCTTTCAGGTCTCACCAGGCTATGACTGTTGGAGACTACTTTGCAACTAATGAAAGTGAAAACATAAGTTCCATTGCAGTCTCTCTGAATTCTCGGTGTTTGGGACAGAGGGACCAGACACATTTTGTGCAGCCATTTTTTAAAATGGTAGCATATTTTTTGTGCATGCTTACAAAATTGTGTTCTGGACTTTGCACAGTTTTGTTACTCACCTCAGCTCACATTCTACTCGCCTTAGCAGCTTTCCCCATGTTGATGCATTATTCTACTTTTTACACATTTAAAATAAAGGCAGATTTTCACAAGTTTTTTAACAAATGTTATTTATCATCAGTGTAGTTTGACCTGGAAGTTGGGGACTGGAGCCTTAAATGTTTTCTGCTAGAGGAGAGCAGGTGTTGATGTACAGTTCTAGTGCTCTTGAGATATGTTGGAGATGTCCTCAGCTATTTAGAGTCAGTTTGTTACACAGATAGTTTGAACATGTACAAAACTCAAGCAACAAGACTTTGAGTCTCAACGTGAAATGTTTCTGGGTTTTTTCAGTGTTTTAAGTTGAACCAATTTTAGGAATATTTTCCACAAACATTTTCTTGTGTAAGAATATTGTAAGATGCTATTCATTCATGTTAATGAGACTTGACTTATTTCAAATTTGATTTCCAGCTTTTCAAGCATCCATTGGAAAAAGAGGGGCAGGTTGGAGGACCTATCTTGGCTCAAGAAGAAATTAAGACTATTTTTGGTAGCATCCCAGACATATACGAGGTTCACACGAAGATAAAGGTACCAACTAATATTACCAGAGTTTGGCAACATGATGATTTTTGAAGACTTGTTGTTGACACGATTGTTTGTTTTTACCAGCATGACCTTGAAGAGCTCCTCAGAGACTGGTCAGAAAGCCAGAGTGTTGGAAACATTTTTCTCAAATATGTGAGTGTGAGGGGCATGAAATGAAAGTAGGATGTTGATCCATGAGACATTTGTAGGAGTATTTAATGCTAATGTTCAGATGTTTTCTTAGAAACAGATGTTTAATAAGTTAAGTCGAATCATTTATTTAGTTAGAATCTAGTAAATTTTAAGTTTCACTGACTGGATAAGACTTTCTCTGCTACAAATCCACCAGTGATTTTGTTCTGATGTCTTCTCTTCTTTTACTTCTCAGTCTAAAGAGTTGGTGAAGGCCTACCCCCCTTTTGTCAACTTCTTTGAAATGAGCAAGGAGACGATTGTCCGGTGTGAGAAACAAAAGCCACGTTTCCATGCATTTCTCAAGGTATAGTTGTTCCCACTGAACTATATTTGGTTTGCTTGGTTGGACTCATCATCAGTTAAAAATCAAGCTTCTGCTCCTGTAGTATTTTGTTTTGTTTTAACCATCAGGGTTCATTTGATATTGGAATAATCCATGACTTAAATGTAATGGGAATGAGCAAAATGGTTTCCTTATGGGCAAAGCTGGTTTTTAGGCTTAGATTAACATGATTTTCTAAAGGTACAGTATCAGAGGCCACACTAGACTTTTTTGCTTTCCATCATTTTGACTGACATTCATCATGATGAATTTTTACCTGTCACTTTATTTTTTTAAATGATGATGACTAAAAATTCAATAGAATGTGGCTGTTGTCATGAGGTTTTGTAGTTTTGCCTCAGAGGACTTCTCATGGCTGTCTTTATGTTGGACCAGGGTTCCTAAAGATCCTTAAAAAGTCTTAACAGACACAGAATTCATCAATCCAAAAATAAGGCCTTAATTAGCCTTAAAATGTCTTAAATCAATCTGTCAGAAGTCTTAAAAATGTTAACACATTGTGAATAGGATGATTGTAATTTGTCTCAAATATTAAAATAATTGGTAACATTTTTTATAAAAGTTCATTCATATATTCCTCTTTGACATCACTTCCTGTTGCTTCACATGCAAATATCTCAACAACTGTCCATCTGAGCATCGTGAAATTTGTTTCATAATATGTTAATAATGTTGTATTTCCAAAAAAATATTCAAATTTCTTACAAAAAAGTTGATGTCACAGGCACTTTAAGGTTTCATCTACAGCAAATTAGGGTTGAGACCCCGCTGTGGGTCCTAAAACTCCAAATTTTGGGTTGTTATAGAATTTCCAGGAATTAAATAAGTTTAAAACGGACTGCTAAGAATGTTTTTGCTATATTTTACAAAAAAAGCAGTTTGATATGGTTAAAAACAATTGCTTTATTAGGAATATTTGAATACTTCAACCAAAAATACTTTGATTCATGAGTTTCTGCCAGTTCTTCTTTTTTTGTCTTTGTGTTTGTTGTGAAATTGGTCTTAAATTTAATTTAATTTGGCATTAAAAAGTCTTAAAGTCTTAAATTTAACTTGCCTTAAACTGTATGCATGCATGCATGCACAATTAGGTGAGAATCTTTAGCCCCCTCATGATTTGATTTCAAAGCCATTCAAACTGTTCTGGTGCAATAAAAAATAAATAAATAAATAAAATGCATTTTGATTATCGTGAAACCTCAATGACCAATGGTTTATTTTACAGAAATAAACAGATTAATATATATTCTTTTAATTCTTAATAAAGAATGCACAATAACATGTCAAAAACACCAAAGATCACATAAAATTGTGTTACATGATTAAGCTTTGAGCAAATACAACTAAATTTGTACCTCATTTGGCTGCTCTGTCCTGAGCTGCTGCCCCTGACACTGGAGTGATGAGTGATGATTCACTCTTTAACATTCCTTTATGTTTATTTCTCAGGAACGGTAAGAATAGTCCTGTGCCTGTTTGACCCTAGGGGCAGAGTTAAATGTCCAAAAGTGTCAGAAACCAAATAATTCTTCAAGAACTTTGTATTCTCATTATCTCTCATGATAAACTTCATTATTACCCATTTCAGTGAATATTTAGAGAAATATTTTTTTTTTACCCCTGAAGATCATGGTTCAAAAAAAAAATAATGAATTCAGTTTTCTTTAAAAGTGCATTTTAAAACTTTTAAATGTCCTTGGCTAGTTTAATAAAACAGTTTCTTTAGATATTTGTTACATTTAAATTTTTGTTTCTATAGATTGCTGTTGATAAATTTACACAGCGTCAGTCTAACTGCTCTATGCATGTAAATACATTTTATCTGACTCCTTCGACTTCTCCCACAAAACACACCTTTCTTACACTCATTAAAAATATGATTTTAGTTATTAAGTTGTGCATTATCAGCTCAAAACATGACTTCATGTCTGTCACACAAGTCACTTCAATCACAATGGCCCTTTATTCTGTTTTCTACAGACAGTTTTGGCTGAGTGCTATTTGGGAATGAAGACCACTGTTTTTTTGTTTTTTTTTGCCATTTTTGATAGAAATGTCTTGTTGGAGGAATAAAAAAATACTTCCTCATTTAGTTCATATTCAGGATCTCAAAATGGTCTTTGTCTTTAGACGCACTGTCCTCAATTTCACTACCATGATCAAAGATGAGGCTCCAGGGCTTACGTCTGATACTTATTTTGTAAAAAATCTTACAGAGACTGTACCATATGTAGCTGCAGAGTGTAATATTGGTTGGACTTCCATGCAGAGAAACTTTAAATGTTTTGCTTCTCCCCTGCTATGTGTCCACTCAATGTGGGTGGAGTTTGCCACAGGAATAGAAAAGATTCCGGTCAAAAGATATAACACCTGCATTGTCACGCCTTACAGATGGTGTTGAGAGAATAGGAGGAGTGTATGTGAGAGGTTTTACAGTAACAAAGAAACAAATATTTGTTGTCTTTGACCTCTTTAGGCTCCACTTTGAGAGCAGTACCAAACAGTATCTATGTATTAAAAAATGCAGAGGGGTAAATATAGTGGCAAAGGAAGTGGAATGAACCATTTTCTTATAATAAGTCGATAACACTTATTCAGCCAAGCTGACAAAGTTTAAAACCAAAAATACATTACCATGCAAATTTAAACCTGATTAATTTTGATTTTAATTTTCAATACGATTGGCTGAAAATTGATTGTCTGCTTCTAGATTAACTGTGCAGTTTATGTTTACACCACCACACGCTGTCAAAACCTCTGAATTCACAGATCAACCAGTCCAAGCCAGAGTGTGGCAGGCAGACACTGGTGGAGCTACTCATCAGACCGGTGCAAAGACTGCCGAGTGTGGCCCTCCTCCTCAACGGTAACACACACATACCTCTGCTAAAACAACACTTTGCTCTGTTTCTTCTTCTGGGATTTTTTCCCCTTCTTACTTGTCAACTGCATCTATCTCCTGTTGATGCGTACCTGTCTGTAATCTGTCTTCCTTTCCCTTCTTTTGTACGCTCTTTTTTCACTGTGGATTTCATCTTCCCCTGCCCACATCCCACCAAACTTTCCCTTCTTATCTCGATTCCAGATATAAAAAAACACACGTCAGATGACAACCCAGACAAGATAACACTGGAGAGAGCAATAGAGTCTTTGAAAGAAGTGATGACGTGAGTTGGCATGATCAGAACTTTTTCCCTCATATGTGATAATCTCCCATTTAGTGTTTCATCATTTATGGGATATTTGATCATCTCAAGTTAACTGATGTCTCTTAAATCCAAGTCTTGGGTCTTAAAAATTTTACAACTAAAATACCTAAAGGTTGGATGAAAATCAATGAGATGCTGCTACAGATTTATGATTTTATTTAGTTTTGAATGATTGTATTTTTCAAGACCAATTGTGATTTTTGTAAAAGCCTGAGCTGCTGTTGCTCATAAATACAACAGAATCCCTGTGACTGCTGCTGCTGCATTTAACTACACAGCTAATCAATATAAACTGATACTGTAGTACTACATACACATGCATGGTGGAAAGTCTGTTCCTGACATGTATGTTTTACACACCACGACTGAGCAAAGGAATGCACTCCAGTGTGTATGATTTGAAATAATGCAAAGGTTTTATTATACTGCTCAATAACCAAAGCACAACTTGAGATTGCAAAAAGCTGTTTCTTATACAGACACGCATGTATGGCAAGTGTATGGTGTGGTGGGTTTTCTGAAATAATGATAGACTCAAAAAAAGAAACAAGTCTAAAGTCTTTTGTGGCACTTTACTAAAAGGAGAAGAAAGAAAGAAAAAGAAAGAGAGAAAGAAAAGAAGAAACTATGTCTGAACCATGATTTTTGAAATCTTTTACAGCTTTTACATAATCTCAGTTAATGTTTTATGATTTTTGTAGATTTTCCACAGAGTGGGCCTTTTTTTTTTTACTCAACTCTTTTGGTACACGGGCAAAATTTCTACATTAAAATTTAAGCTTTTCTCATTTTTCACAAAGTGTATTTCACTTCTATTGGCTTTACAGACTCACACAGATTTTGTTTTATTTTAACACATAAAACAAAAATCCTCGAATCTGGATGTGAAGAGTCTTTTTAACTCTTCATAAATTCAACATAAAACTCTACAAACATTGGGCCTCATGCAAGAACCGTTCGTACGCACAGATTTGTTCTCAAGTTGTGCGTACGAGTGATTTAGGAGAATTTGTGGTATTCACCAATGTTTTCGTATTCTAAGATTTTTTTCAGATACGAACAAAATTCATGAGTGGTCCAGACCTGTCGTGTATTTTACGAGCAGTCAGTCTGCTGTTATCCAGACGGGTTTTCCTCCCTAATAACTTTATATTTCGTTAGTTAGACTGTCCATTCGTCCGTTTTCCGCCGCTTATCCGGGATCAGGTGCGGGGCCAGCAGGAGAGACCCTCTCTACAGCGACATTTTCCAGCTCGTCCTGGGGGACTCTGAGGCATTCCCAGGCCAGAAGGGATATATATAATCCCTCCAGCGAGTCCTGGGTTTTCTCCAAAGTGCCAGACTTATTTTGAAAACATTTTAAAATGCTTATTT